TCGCTTTATCTACTTTTCTGATCATAATGAGCCTACAATTCCTTTATTTGTTGACGCTCATATCTTACCGCTAAAATTTGTTCATTATGAATCTATAACTAATTTCTTGTTTGACGTTCGAAACACAACAGCTCCATCCAATTAATATTTAAGATCCATTACAAGACATATCTAAAGTGCATTCTTACAGTACACTTTCTTCTGCCTCTAATAACTTCTATACCAAACCTTCTAGGCTATCTGTTGAAGCGAATTCCTTCTCTCGAATAGGAATAAAAGTGTGGAATGCGATACCTCAAGCATTAAGAAGTCCTTCCAAAAATGCGTTTAAGAAAAAAAAACTCAAACTAACTTTATTCACCATATTAGGTTCACAAGACTCTGACTTATACAAAATGTAAAGTCCGGGTGATATTTCTCCTGATCTGTCCTGACTATTTTTATCAACTGTAACTGTATCTTTAATATTTTAAACTAGGTTAACGTAACGGTTACTCTAGTTGTTATTCAATACTGTCTCTTTCCCTGCTACTTTATTAGTTAATTTCTGTTTTGATATATTTTGTAATTCGGCTATTATTAAGAGCCACTGAACGTAAATATCGAGAATCCGCCGACAGTTGCAAAATTTTGGTAATTCACTTTATTTTTTCTAAAGGACCATTTTAATGAACCTTTTTCGAAAATTATATCAAAAAGTTCTATTGTGCTTTTTTTTATCCGAAAATTCTAAAAGTTCAAAATACGCCTAAATGGCCGCTGTCGCCTCCTTAACGCATTGTAAAATTATGCAACTTCGGCAATGCAATCCTGCTTGTAAATTTTGTGTGCTAACAGATGGTCCTTTCATCTCTTGAAATATTAATTTCTTGTTATGTTGTTACGTTTAAGTCTGAATAGTAACCAGTTAAAATACAGTACTTCGCGCCTCTTTCGCGAACTTATGTCATCTTCAAGGGCCAATAAACAGGTCTGCCATATATTCTTAACAATCATAATACGCATAACCTTAAAGCTTTATTCTTGTATTTTAATTCCTCCAATTCTCTATCTTGGCCCGCCATAAGCGGCACGTCCAGGTTTAAAAGAGTTTGGGCTATTTTGTCAAAATTTCAATGCGAACCGCTGAACACCTGTCACCACCCATTTAAAGGCCTTTAAAAAAAGGTCTTGTATGATACATTTACAAACCAAAATATATGTCATCTAAAAGTTTTATCCTTGTAGTCTAATGCCCCTAAGTTCTTTCTTGGCCCGCCATAAGCGGCGCGTCCAGCTTTCAAAGAGTTCGGGCTAAATATGACAAAAAATTTAATCATGCGATCCGTTGAATGGCTGTCACCCAAGAGGTCGAGGCCAATCTTTTTTGGCCAGGAATGTACCAAATAAATGGCCTCTTACGTTACAACCGTTCAACGGATCGCATTACATTTTTTGCCATTTTAGCCTGTACTCTCTGAAAGCTGGACGCACCGCCTATGGCGGGCCAAGAAAGAAACTTAGAGGAATTAGAATACAAGGATAATACTTGAAGAAGAGATATATAAATTTTGATTTTGTAAATATATCATACAAGACCTTTTTAAAAGCCTTTAAATGGGTTGTGACAGCCGTTCAGGGGTTCGTGCTTCATTTTTGACAAAATAGCCCAAACTCTTTCCTGGACGTGCCGTTTATCGTGGGCCAAGATAGAGAATTGGAGGAATTAAAAGAAAAGGATAAAGCTTTAAGATGACGTTCATTATGATTTGTAAGTATGTATGGCAGACCTGTTCAAAGGCCACCGAAGTTGACCTTTATTTTACCTTCACGAGAGAGACGCGAGACAATTCATCTCAACAGGTTCCTATTTAGACTTAAACGTAACAACATCACAAGAAATTGATATTTTCTAAGAGATAATAGGACCATTTGCTAGCACAAAAAATTTAAAAGCAACATTGCAACGCGTTGTAGCGTAAGAAGTTGACAAAGTTACATAATTTTTCATTGCTTTACGGGGGGGACAACGGCCATTTAGGCGTATTTTGAACTTGTCTATGTTTCGGAGAAAAAAAGCGCGATAGAACTTTTTGATATAATTTTCGAAAAAGTTTCATTAAGGGTCCTTTATAAAAAATAAAATGAATTACGAAGTTTTGCAACTGTCGGCGGATTCCCGATAATTACCGTCAGTGGCTCTTAAGGCACGGCCCGCCTAGATTAGCCTTTGCTAGTTGCGGGCATGCCCTCTTCTGTAAAAAATAATTGGAAATTGAATTTAAAACTGTGAGCTGTGAAACACCATTTGCTTTTCAAAGATTTTAATGAAAAGCTTTTGACAAGAAAAATCAACGGTAAAATACTAACGACGCTTCGATAAAATTTCGGTCGTTTTCAAGTAAATGGTATGAATGCCATGATTGGTATAAGTATAAACATTTCTGTGGGTGTAAAACAGAAAATAGGAACATACAAAGAGATGAATAATAATAAGTGTCAGTTTCGAAACGCGTAGCGCGTGTACTTTTCTGTTATGTTTGTTCCGGTCTATTATTTCTTCGTTGGTTAATGACTATTACTTAATAAGTTTCTTATTTCAGTCAGTTTCATTTTAGCGCATGTGCTAGATATTGTATTCCATTCTTTATCGCTATAAGTAGCTTTTGATACCACCAAATGTTTGTCTGCTATTCACAAATCATCTGCTTTCAGCGAGTTACCTACTATCATTAGGAGCTACACCAAAGTAAGCCTTTCTTTATTTTACATTTAAGATATTTCCCTTTTTTTGGTACGTACATTGGTTTATTTCTCGCTTTCAGTTAACTTTATAATCGTGTCACTGTTAATTAGGCTAGTGTTACATTTCTCAAGGATATTTTCGTAGTTTAGTCTCTTTTAGTTCGAAACACACAAATTCAGCCACATAAATTCAACAACACAAATTCAGCTACAACATCAATCACAATCATAACTTCGCAATCTTCAATCTCTATTTCGCCCTTTTTATCTGTGATTTCGCACCGATGTTTTTATTTTCGTTTGTAATTTTGATTACGTACCTCATTTAATTGAACCGTGATTTCTATTGTGCGTTCGAATTGTCTTCTCCGCTATAAAAGTAACCATTCGAGATTACAATAACAAACTAGTTGATAACCTTGGCACGAATTGAGTCCGATTGTATATTGAGAACAGGTCTCAGTTCTTGAAGAAAATCATTTCATAAAGTAGGTGGTGAAATGTGTTCAAACATTTCTTTAAAATGCGATTTTGCTTTTTTTTTCATTTAGTTATTTTCATAAGTTTCCGATCTTTCCACACTGGCACATTGTCAGCAATGTTGCGTAGCTTTCACCATAGCGTCTTCTAAAATGGTGGATATTGACATTGCTGTTTGGCAATGTCAATATCCACTTTAACTTCCGCTAAAGAGCCTGAATACCTTTGAATTATACAGGAAATTCATTACTTGACTTGTGAATTCCGCATTGAATTGCACAAGAAAACCGAGAATCGCATAATTGAATAAAAGCAAGAAAAAAAGAAAACAGCATTACTTATTGTTGTCAAGTATACGTAGATGCGAAACAATATCGCTCAGCGTCATTTTTAACTGCCAATTTCACGCTAAATACTTCGCTTCGTTAGCCAATCAGAATTCGACATTCTAATTCAGTGATGTAATTCTGTTCAAAAGTTTTATCACTACAGAGGAAACAACTGAACTTGATTGCGTGTGGCCTACAACTGAGCGTGAAAAGAATACCCAGGAAAATATAGGGGATCGGCTGAAAAAGAATCAATAATTTCAAAAGTTACAAAAACACCGAAATATTACAAAATCGGAGTAAAGCCTTGCAATCACGCGACACTTCTATAGAGATTGCTGGATCGATCCCAGATATTACAACAGAATACGACCCAAGATAGAGAACGAACGACCAAATGAAATATAAAGGTAAAGGTCACTAAGCAAAATCTTGATCTTACCGCAATATTTCATTCCTTTGGTCTCGATGCCAGTGACCGGCACAACAAATAACAGGAACAAGCTTGCAGCCAGATAATAGTTGTTGGAAGCCATATCATCAAAAAAGTCCCTATTGCGTAATCATTGTACAGTAAAATTGAAATTTATGTCTCATGATGAATGATAAATGGGCCTATCTACGCATAAATATACCTTCAACATATCCACTCTTTATACATAACATTTCCGCTACATTTTAAGTTAACTAAACACTTAATGCTTCTAAATAGCTCACAGTCAAATATGATAAGACTATATTCTACTTTAAGCATATTAAACTTGCCAACACAGCAGTCACCCCAATGACCAATGGCTTAACTGCTTATTTTGGACACAAATAGCGTATTTTTTAGCCCTGCGCATGACACCCAAGGAAAAAATAAAATCATCTCCTACAAGAAAAGCGATTTAGGTAGGCTATTAACACATGTTTGTTGCGAATGGTAAATTACCTAATGATAGATATAGTGCTCCTAGTAACAAATGTTCAGAAATTGACACATTGTAAAAGCTTCAAACAAAGGCTATTTAGAAGCATAAAGTGTTTAGTTCAGTTTAAAGTGTAGCGAAAATGTACTTGGATATGTTGAAGGTATGTTTATGCGCAGGTAGGCTCGTTATCCATGTATCGGTCTCCAATTACTATCATCGGACAGCTAGCATTATTGTCATTATAATGGTATATTTAAGGCGACAGATGTATCCATTGAACTACAAAGAATTTGTACCTACTCTGGTTATTCAGCTCTGGCTAAATGCGATAAAATAAATAAATTATGAATTTTTACAAGTCAAAAGTCTATTCAATTGCTTAACAAATTATTCTCAAGTACATGTATTAAAGCCCAGACGCTATAGCCATAGCAGGCAGCTGAATCAGCGGATCTTCGCGGAGACACATACATTACTCACCCACAAATCAAAATTCATTTAGTAATTTATCGATTATGGTTTTGAAATTTGTGCGAAGGAAATAACTACGAACTTACCTCTNAGGCTTAGAGTAACTAATAAGAAGCTGCTTTACATTACCTCGAAGAGTATCTGTGTGCTTCAGATATTGCTGAAGATGCTTTACAATACAAAGACTTACATCTGGTGCATAGGCCTGAAACTCAATACAAGCTAAATGTTTACCTGGTCTGGAAGTTTTTAACAATGAGTTAATGGAAAACACAGCCTTTTCAGAACTTATTTGCATATAATCAATTGATAATGTGTGCAGAGTCTGGCGACGCTGTCCCGAAAGCAACGCCATCAACATAACCACTTTCAAAGTCAAGTTCTTAAAACTAAGTTTCACAGGTGGCCCAAGTTTAGCTAGATAGTCTAATACCACCGTGACATCCCAAGTTTCTTGGTACCTTGGGAGAGAGGGTCTGCACTCAAAAATTCCTTTGAGGAAACGACAGACTAGGGGATGCTGTCCAAAAGTGTAATGCTCTGATGTAAAACAAACAGTAGACAAAGCACACCGTGCAGTGTTGAGGGCACTGTATCCAATCCCTGTGTGGTAAAGTTCTGCCAAGAAATTAATCCCATGTTCTATAGTTGCTGAAAAGGGATTAATCTTCCTTTGACAACAGTATTGTTCCCATTTAGTGATGAATGGTTTATATTGTTGTTTGGTGCCCTTTCTCCAAGACTGTAGGATGAGTGAGGTAGCTGATTCCGAAAGCCCTCTGCCTTCAAGTGATTTCCTGACAAGTGGCATATCAGAAGTGTGAGCTTCTGATATAGTGGATGCACCAAGTCTGGCTGTTGAGGTAGAAATAAGGTGTGTTTCTTCTTGGGGAGCACAAGGGGTTCCTGAACCAACAGTCTCATCACCAATGGCCACCATGGCTGAGTTGGCCAGCACGGCACAACTAACAGTCCTGTGGTCTCCTCTGCTTGAATTTTCTGTAACACTTTTGGGATGATACTAAAAGGAGGAAAGGCGTAAAAAACATAAGGTTTCCAAGAAATTGAAAAGTCATTAATAGCCATTGCTTCAGGGTCAAGTTGGTAGGCAACAAATGGTCTTAGCTGGTAATTAAGCCTAAATGCAAATAGGTCCATCTGAGGCTCAACATGAAGTTTCTTAACGACTGCGTGAAAAATGTTTCTGTCTAAAGTCCATTCAGTTTCTTTTCTAGATTTCTTGGACTCTGCATCAGCTAGAGTATTCTCTTTCCCTGGGATATGACTTGTGCTTAACCACATGTTATTGTCAAGGCACCACTCCCAGAGCGTACGGGTTAAATCATTCCACTTTCTGGAATGGCTTGTGCCCATTTTACCTAGATCTGACAGAGCAGTCATATTATCAATTCGCACAAGTACACGCCTTCCTGATAACTCTTTATGAAATTCCTTAAGAGAAAATAGCACTGCAAGCATTTCAAGATAATTTATGTGATTAGAAGCCTCTTCTGGAGTCCAAGGTCCCCCAATCTTTGCATTATTGAGTACTCCTCCCCAGCCCTCTTTACTCGCATCTGTGTATAAAGTGGCTTCTGGCTGAGGAGGGCTTATAGGATTATATGATGACCGTGCTGAGTTTATCCACCACTGCAAATCACTGCGAGATAACTCAGACAGTTGCATAAATGCATCAAAGTTGCCCTTGTTTAGGCCCAAGGCCTCAGTTTTGTCCATGTCCAGTGACCTAAAATGTAAAGGCCCTAGTCTTGCTGCTGGAAAATTTGATGAGGAACCCAAGGGTTGATGCCGCCTCTCTTACTGTAGGGTGTGGACACTCCAACAGCCCTTGACAGGTATGAATGATCTTTTCGGTCTTCTCAGAGGTTGGATAAACTTTCATTGTGATTGAGTCAATGATAAACCCCATGAAGGTGATACGATGTTGTGGAACAAAGGACGATTTTTCAGGGTGGACAGTAAACCCAAGGGAATCAAATAATCTGACAGTATCCCAAACATCTCTTTCATAGTCATCATAGTTATCACCCTGGAGATATAAGTAATCGATATGACTTGCTGAAAGGTGTCCCAGATTTCTCAAATGTGAATATACTGGTTTTAATAATTTAGTAAACTTCCTGGGGCAAAATGTCAATCCATTTGGAAAGCAAACATATTTATACAGTTTTCCACGCCACTGAAACTTCAGGTATTTTTGGTCTGCAGTGGCAATAGGCACAGAATAATATGCATCCTTTAAATCTATGGATGCCGTAAAGCACCCAGGTTTTACCATTTGTAAAACAGTATTAAGAGAGTCCATTTTAAAATGGTGGTATTGTACATGAATGTTTAAACAATTGAGATTTAAAATTACTCTGAAAAAACCATCCTTTTTGGCCTGGTGAAAACAGGAGAGATATATTCCCCTTTTTCATGACTACTTGGGGTAATAACATCCTTAGCAAGGAGTTCAGCTATTTCAGTATCAATGACATGTTGTTTGTCTAAATCAAGGATTTTCTTCTCTTTGGGGACTACTCTTTGATATGGAGTCCTGGTAAATTCGATTGGCTGGCCTAGTATCATTTGCAATATCTTAGGGTCTGAGGTTAAGGCCTGCCACTTATAATAATATTCTCCCAGCCCCCCTGCTTTAAAGCAGTGCACCTTGTGCTCAAGGAACTGTAACATATTTACCTTGTTTGTTGGGATATCAGAGCATTTCACTGGCTGGATTTCTTCTCGGTTTCCCGTGGTTTGTAGGAATAGTGGTTGTGTGGCCGGTAAGACCGGCCCCTCTTCCCTAAAAAAGGCTTTCCATTTGAGTGAGAAGATTTGCCCTTTCAGCCATCGCTATGGTTGCGATAATATGGCTTTGTAGTAGTCGCATGGCCAATTTTGTTAGTTGCTTTGATATTGTTGAGCTGAGATTGCAGCTCATCTCCAAACAATAAACCCGTGATGGGTACTTGAGAGCCACACAACGAGGAATATTCGTTATTTAAGTTTGGTTTGATGACGTCGCGTCGACGATATGATAGGTCCATGTTTACATGGCCTAACAATGCCAGAGCGTCAGCATTATGCGTGATTAATTTCCCCAATTTCTCAGTGAGAGCCGACGCTGAAGTCTTCTCAGGATCTGCACGGATAGCCAACAGTGTGTCAGTCGATTTAGCGATTGCACTACCGACTTTGACAAGTACTTTCTGCATGTTGGCAAGGCGTAAATCTGCGCTCCTGGTCACGTGCTTCAGCTTATTCCAGATCTCGGGGTTGACCTTTGGCACAGTTAATTTCTCGCAATTATCGGGTCGATTGTATTTCGCCAATTTTTCTTT